GTCCCTTTCCCGTCGATGTTTCTCTCTCTCTCTCTCCCCCTCCCACTCAGTCTGAACAAAAAATGGAAAAATGTCCTCAGATGAGGATTTAAAAAAAAACAATGAGCATCTTGCCGACTATCGCTTGCTGTGGAAAGCTCTGTCTCTGCTTTGCGGAACGGAAGTGACTCCATCCGAAGCCAACCCGCCCTCTTGGTGTTGGGTGAACCTGGAGGGTGAGGTTAGCGGCCGTGCACTTGTTGAGTCTTCGTGAGAAACTGTGCGTAGGGCATACGGGAACTCGTGCTTTGTTCAGAGAAGTGGGTTGGGGCAGTGTCCTTGGACATCGGTCAGTGTCGATGCCAGTGGAATGCTGCACACAGTGGGCAGAGGATAGATGACTTCTAGCACAAAGGTGGCCGGGGACCGTCCTCGTGGCTTGTAGAGTGTCTCCATAGCAGTGTAGAGTGTACCAGGAACCGAGCCCCAGAGAAGTGCATGCCCAAGACCACACGAAGAATCAGTCACAAAAACAGAGTGAGGATATTGGTCTCCCGGGTCCCAGTCCGTCTCCACTCACCACAGAGAGGTAGCACTCAGCCGAGCTCTGAAGGTCAGGTAGAGAACTCCAATAGACAAAGATTGGCGACCAGTCACTCCAGGCCATTGCGTGGCTTGAGAAATCAGTAGGTCACTGAGCACTGCTCCTGGGAGTAATAGCAGGGTCTCTGTGGGGAGCGATGGAGGAGAAGGTGAGACAGCACTCTGAGTGGGTGCTGAAGATCGTGGGTTTTCTTCGGAAGAAAACAGAACTGTGCATTGTCGCCTGCATCTTGGTCAAGTGCCAGTTCTAGTTGTTTCTCTCCCAGACAGAGTCGTTACATATTTATAGACTGATTTTCTAAGGTCCATTTACAATCAGATTTTGACTTCCATCTCTCTGGGCATGCATCCTTATAAATGTACTTTTTTAAATGCATCTTCAGGGGAAGTCTTTCCTACACATCTCTCCATCTGGCATCTGGTAATTGATAGATCCAAGTAGCAGAGAGCTCAGAAGGAAGAGACAGAGCATCCTCACCACATGGAAATATGGCCCCAGAGCCCATCAGGCACGACAGTGGGTGCTGGTCTCGGGTGCCCGACATCTGACCTCAGGTCATTCGTAGAGCTTGATGGTCTGGGCTCTCTCTAGCTGGATTCTGAGAGTTCCTGTGACCTTGTTCAAAGCTAAGGAGAGCAGGGGTCCACACAGAAGCCAGCAAATAGACATGGAAAGGAGGTGTCGCTGGGGAGCCAGTGGGTGGGCACAGACGTAGACGCACTAACAGTGCTGAAAGGCTCCAGTGAGTCAGGCGGTCAGCACAGGTGGCTGAAAGAGGGGAAATCAGACCCGAGGGCCCAGCAGTTCAGAGTCGTTTGGCGAGGCCACGTGATCCTGAAAGTAAGACGTAAGATGTCTCTTACAGTACAACGTGGTACGAACTGTTCATGGCCGGGGCTCTGCCTCCCACCAACAGGTCACAGCATCCTTGAGTTACACCTTGAGTTTGGAACGTAGAGAATCGTGAAAGGTACCTTGGAAACCATCTTGAGCAAAGCTATTAACCCTTCAACCATCAAATTAAAATTTCTACGAGCAAGAAAATCTACTCACCCAGAATATGTCTTTTTCTAACTAAGGAAGAGATCTGATAATTATATGTCTCTCCTGTTATTTTAGTGTGTTCTACAGCCTCACACAGAAGCTCATCTACATCAGACTCACCTAAGTGAAGCTTTGGTGTGGACGTGTTGTGAGAGGTTCTTATGTTGCCCTACCTCCCCAGATCTCTGTCCCCTGGACTCTGAACCGTGTGTTCACTAACTGGAACAGTCATTGTTCCATGGCGTGTCTACATATGCCCCAGTGGGTACCTTCTGCGGGGGAAGAAAGCAAATGTGGGACCCCAACAACAGCACCATCTTTGGCTCCAAGTAGCTATGTTGGTTTAAATAGTAACCCCAAGATTTCTTCATGGGGAAGTGTAAATAGTTCGAGGTCCCTGTTAGTCCTCAAATCTGAAAGCCAGTGCTGAGCAGTATTGGTCAGAAAGGAGACCTCGCTGGAAAGGACCGTGAGTTAGTAGAAGTAGAATATGTCCGTGGGGAGACAGGGAAATAGCCAAGAAGGAGTAGGCAGAGTTCTCGCACTGTTGCAACCGTGATAGTCAGGTGTGGCGAGGGCACAAGCTGGTGCCTACCAGTTGGGGTGGAGAGTCCACCTAAAAAGGACTCCCTGGCCCAGTGCCCATTCTTCCTGGCTCCGGAGCTGCTGTGCCTTCACTGAGGGCCTTCGACGGAGAGATGTCTATGCCAGTGAGAGACACAGAGAACAAAGAACGGTTCAACTGGCTCCCCTGAAGGGGTGTCTGGGGAAGAGTTTAAACAGGTTTTGTACAGTGGACAGTCAGCAGGTGATGGCGGGACAAGCATAGGCGAGAATGAAGGGGCGGGAGGATCTGGGGGCGGCAGGCGTTGCGTGGAGCCTGCGCGGTCAGGGCCGACTCAGGGCTCCCAACCCTGTCTCCTGTGGTCCTGTGATCGTGGGACGTGCAGACACAGCCGCTGAGACTGGGGGATGGAAGGGAGAACAGCGTGGTTTCGGCGGCTTTGCGGAAGCAGCCCTTGCCGGGCCCTGTCCGTCCCAGGCTGTCCTGATGTCCCCGGGAGGAGCTGGGCCGTCCCAGGAAGAGCTGGTCTGAGTCCACCCTCACGTCTACACTCCAGTTGCAGTTCAGGGTCGACTGATGTAGCTTAAATTGACCCACGAACACCTTAGATGGCTTAGTGTCATTCTGGTTTAGACTCACATCATTTTTGCTTGTGTTGCGTCAGAACCGAGACAATGTTGAGTAAGGTTTCCCTGGCCAAACGTGCGTTATATCCTCAGGAGCGTGAGAAGCAGGAGCCAGAGGGCCCCGCTGACCAGGAGCGGCGGAGACACCCACCCGCCCAGTGTCCTGCAGGCAGCCCGCGGGCAGCGTCTCTGCGGGGCCAGGGGGGCTGCGGACGAACTTCTTGAACCAGGTGGTGTCTTTTCGGTCAAACTGTGTTTGTGAAAGTTCACTCTCCCTTTGCCAGAACCTCTTCCGTTTGGCTTTTACTGTCACTTTCCGTCTCTACGCGGAGGTCACCCAGGAGCAGTAACCCTCCAGGAGCAGTAACCAAGCGTCTGACACGCAGCCTTCCCGGCCGTGCCCTCTGCCTGCGGGGAGCCCGGCCTCCTGACCGCGAACGGGCGCCTTTGGCTGCCGCACGCCTCGGTGGCCCGCAGGCCTCTGTTCCGCTTGTCGGGCTCCAGCCACTGTCCGAGCTGGGCTTCCCGAAGCTCCCCTGGGAACTGCACCCCTGGGAACTGCACCCCTGGGAACTGCACCACGGCCTCCCGGCGTCCTGCCTGCACGCGGCAGCTCATGCGGCCGGAGAGGAAGAAGCGGTGGTTTCTTTGAGCTCCGTGTGTGCAGCTCTCCTGTCTCCACCTGGTCCCAGGGTCCCCTCCCCGGGGTGCCCCGAACTCCAGTCTTTTCTCTCCCCAGGGAGGTAGCTGTAGTCCTTGGGGTTTAATTTCTCTGTATTGCAATTCGGGACATACCACCGCGCAGAAAACGGGCAGTGTGTTATCCCCCCGCCCCAGGATGGCAGCCCTGTGCCGTCTGTTACCCGATGTCTGAAAACCGGATATGCGCCTCCTTCTGCTTCGTAGTTCACAGGGGAGGGTGAGCCCCATCCTTCCCTTATGGCGGGAGTAGAAGAGCACGAATTGATTTTATTATGGTAGCTTCTTTTATTTCTTCAATGGGATAATGTTTCTAGATGTTTGCTGATACATTTCCAGAAAGGCCACATGGGCTGTGTTAAGCTCCTAGACCCCAGCTCATTTTTATGCTGCCCTATAAATACTTACAGAGTCGGCAGTAAACTTCATCAAGTTCCTATTTTGAGCCCACGCCATGAGAGAAGCTGGAGGGTAGCATGCCGAGGGGGTACGAGAGCAGCATGAAGACTTTCTTAAACTTCAAAGGCTCTTCGTGTCCTTCCAGAGGGAAAGCAGGGAGCAGAGGAGACTGGCACCCCTGGGTGACGGTGACATCAGCACTCGATGCACCAGGCGCGGTCTGAGCCCTTGACCTGGAGTCTCTGACTGCCCCTGTGAGCAGCGCTGAGCGACCACATTCTCGTTGTCACACGAGAAGCCTGGGGATGGGAAGGGTTCAGTGGGGCCCTGGCCAGAGCAGGCTTCCCCAGGGTGGGCGCAGGGTTCCAGACTGTTCTCTAGAAATGGCTGCAGGACAGCTCTGGGGCCCCAGGGGATCAGGAAGGATAGGTAAGGCTTGTCGGAGTGAAAAAGCAAAGCGAAATAACGTGACCTCACAGAAAGGCAATGTGGGGAGCCGCCCGGATTGGAGCAGCGTGTGACCAAAGACTTAGAAGTATCTGAGTTAGAGAATCACAAGGCAATATGTGTGTACACAATGTTTAAGAAAGTCTTTGTAGTAGCCAGAGAGGGTGGGCATGATGGAGGGAGGGTTGAGTCAGGGAGACCCTCCAGAGGTACGGAGAGTAACCCCCTAATGACCGATCAAAGGGGACTCGGTGTTGTCACTGGGAACGGCAGGGGAGAAGTAATATGAAAGACAATGCAAGCGGGAAACTGACCAGAACTTGATTACAGAGTAAACTGAGAACCCACCACATCTCCGTTTCTCAGGGAGGGTGCGGAGAAGAGACTAACGAAGGCGGGAGGAGGGCAAGGTCAGGAAGGCGGTGAGACCCTGCCGACTTTGGTACATGGCCACCCCGCGGAGTGTCTGTGGCGTTTACTGGTGTAGCTTTGGGTGCAGTGCAAGCATTAAAGTGTCGTCAGGTCCCCATACTGTCACCTGTGTGCTCCGCCCCGGTCGCGCCCGTCCCGGGAGACATGTTCGTTAGCTCCCGTCCATCTGGCCGAGGTGTCACCAGCTCTCTGCTCCACTTTGCAGACAGCGATTCTGGAGCAGCAGCAGCGGGAACGAGAGGACACCAGCTTCCGTGGCGCGTGCATGTTTTGCAATGAGGAATTCTCCGGGAACAGGTTTGCCGCCACGCGTGACTCCGATGGGACTGTTCTGTGACAGCTCATCGGAGCCTCCGCGATGCCTCCACAGAGGGAGTTCCGTGGGTTGACCCAGGGCCTTCATACGTCAGCTGTGGTTTTTGCAAACACGCCTGAATCAAAGATGGGCGGTAGCTGCTGTGAGCAGAGCAGGGGGTGCATTCTTCAAATGCCACACGCAGTTTCGTGTTTGCTGTTGTCAGATGTTTTTAATGGGCCGACAGGCAGGACTGTGTGAAGCTACTGCAGACAGTGTCCTATATGAACTTGTAGACTCTCAACTTTTCGCACTTTTGCTGTTTTACTTCTGAAAACAAAAAATATCACTCAATTTCTGAGATCCCAGCTCGCAACCGGTCATATTTGCCTTGGACAGCTGTCTCTCCCCCTTCTCCGTGACGAATTGGAAGAGTAGGCAAAGCACAGTGCATTTAGTAGTTGCAAGGACAGAAACCCAGATCCCCCGTGGAGTGTGCCCTGCCCGTGGCGGGCAGTGAGGCAGACGTGGAACCCCACTAAAGGACCGATACGGTTCTGTGTGGCTTCCGTCCTCCATAGCACGTCTTTGTGTCCCAGATGTGGGTAAAACTTGCTTGTGCTTCTAATTAGTGTTGTTTAGCATTTATTGCTGACTTGGTCTGTTCCTAGAAGATGCACAAATAATGCAGAAGATTCAACTTCCTTCCTAGGTCTGTTCTTCTGAACCACATGAGCAGAGAGCACGCTTTCAACATCGGCCTGCCTGACAACATCGTGAACTGCAGGGAGTTTCTGCGCACGCTACAGAGAAAGCTGGACAAGTAAGTACTTGTGACACCGCCCTCCGCTACTAATCCTCTTGTGAATTGTTAAAAATAATGTAATAGAAGTAACTAAGGAAATGGACTCGATTCATCTCTCACGTTGAAGGTTCCATTTGGGGTGACAGTCCTCACTTCACGCAGATCGTGCAGCCTTTAATGTTTTCATTTATTTTTCGTATCCTCACCCAAGGACGTTTTTCCATTTTTTGTTCAGATAGAGAGGGAGGGAGAGAGAGGAAGAGAGAGAGAGAGAAACATCGACATGAAAGGGACACATTGAGTGGCTGCCACCCACACGACCCAACCAGGGCCGGGGACAAACTGCAACCGAGGTGCATGCCCTTAGCGGGAACCGAACCCGGGTCTCTCTGGACCACAGGCCGACGCTCTAACCACTGAGCAACTGGCCAGGGCCAGCCTTTAATATTTTTAAATAAAATGTCACACAACGCACACACGAGGTTTGGGGAACACGGCGCGAAGCACTTGCTCACCGTCCACCTCAGCCGCAGGACTGGGGGCCGCCTTCGGTCTCCCCGTGAGCCCCTCCCCCGGAGTTGTTTCCAGAATCCACTATTCTGAGTTTTGGATTTATAATCTCTTTGCTTTTTACTATAACTTTTTTACATATTCAGTGAACGTGCTGTCGCGTCGCGGTGTGTGATTCACCCCACGTGCAGACGAGACGCTGTGCAGTCCCCTGCCTTCCGCGTCGCCCGCCTCGCTGCGCCGCACTCTCCGCGCTCCCGGGTCCCTCCTGGCAGCCGTGGGGCCGGGCTCAGCTCGCGGAACGGGGAGCGACCCTCCAGGTCACCTGCAGCGAGGCGATGACCAGAGGGAAGGGGAGGCGCAGGAGGAGAGGGTGAAGGGGCCTGACTCAGGGTGGTGAGCACACGACACAGTGTACAGATGATGTGTCATAGAATTGTACACCTGAAACCCAGAGAATTTCATTAACCAGTGTCACCCCAATGAATTCAATTTAAAAAAAAATTAACGCTTATGTATATGAAAGACAAAACAAACCCTCTCATTAAAAAAAAAAAATTTTTTTAAAGAAAGAAATTCTCTAGGTTAAAACAAAATAACTTTCAAAAATCTATCAACTTGTCTTCCTAGGAAAGGGCCCAAGGTGTTTTCCCTCAAAACCTGTTTGTTTGTTTTTTCATTTAACCGTGATGGTAAAGTAACAGTGAAGAGCGCGGCGTCTCCGCCCACAGCAGGGGCAGTGCATTAGAACGGTCAAGGGGGAGGTCAGTTCCTAGGAGCCCTGAATCCACGTCCTCACCAACCCCGCCTTGAGGCGGCCCTCCCCCTCGCTGAGCGCCTCCCGGGTCCGAGCGCCACAGCGCCCTCACCAGCTTATGCTCGTGGGCCGTTTGCTGTGAAAGGATGTAGCTGTTGCTGTGGCATCAGAAACTTAGCAGAGATGGAAAAGTTCAGGCCGAAGCACCTGGTCTCAGTCACTGGCGAGTGTTCGTGGGAGGGGAGGGTGGGCTCATCCCACGTGACCCCTGGGCAGGGCTCTGCTGGCTGCCGGGCAGGAGGTACGGGGATCGGCTGTCAAGGTTGGTACGAGAAAGACATTTTCTGGGTGATAACTGTGATCACTGCCTCGCTTGGCCGTGGGCTCCCAGGAGGTGGAACTACGTGGGCAGCGGGCACACGAGGGATAGGGCAGCAGTGGCCGTTCATTGCGCGCTCACTGCGTGCTGGGCATCTTAGCATATAGGAAGCATGCACACACACATGCTTTGTTCACGTGTGTGAGTTGCGTGAGCATCCATGTGTCTAAGTCGTAAGAATTCTCTGGAATGTCGGCGTGCTCTTCAGCTGGAGGGCAGCAGGTGACGGGGAAGCTGGCAGGGGTTTGAGCTGCACTCCAGCCTGCGGATGGCGCAGGTGGGGTCGGCGCCTCGGTGGGCACAGGCCTGCTCGGTGCCGTTCTCTGGAGAACACGCCCCCGTCCACATTTCTAGAGCAGGCCGTCTGACTAGTGAGCCATCCAAAGAACTTGGATATTGGCCTCCTCTGTCACGGTTTAACTGCACGGCCAGCTCAGGAACAAGCGTGCGCCCCGTGTCGCCAAGCAGACAGCGAGGGCGCACGTGCTCCTGTCTCAGTGACACCAGTGAGCACACGTGACGTGACGGGGCAGGCGGGTGGCGGCAGGTGCGGAGCCTGGGCTGACCCCGTGCCGTCCCCAGCCTGCAGTGACGCCAGTGAGCACACATGACGTGACGGGGCGGGCGGGTGGCGGCAGGTGCGGAGCCTGGGCTGACCCCGTGCCGTCCCCAGCCTGCTGTGACGCCAGTGAGCACACGTGACGTGACGGGGCGGGCGGGTGGCAGGTGCGGAGCCTGGGCTGACCCCGTGCCGTCCCCAGCCTGCAGTGACGCCAGTGAGCACACGTGACGTGACGGGGCGGGTGGCGGCAGGTGCGGAGCCTGGGCTGACCCCGTGCCGTCCCCAGCCTGCAGTGCCTGTACTGCGAGAAGACCTTCCGGGACAAGAACACACTGCGAGATCACATGAGGAAGAAGCAGCATCGCAGGATCAACCCCAGGAACAGGGAATACGACCAGTTTTACGTCATCAACTACTTGGTAAGCCTTCCTCTATTAGTGTGATTGCATTGCCACGGACTGTCCGTCTGGGCGGTCAGGGCCGAGGGCAGCTGTGACCAAGGGCACTTCCAAGTGACCAGCTTTAAAAGGGTTCACGAGGCCAAACCTGATCTGATTGTCTTGGTTGCCAGTTGTTTGTACAGTAAAGACGTCCTGTCTCTAAACCACAGTGGTCTCGGCTGAAAAAGTAAACAAACATGAAGCATTCCGACATCCGTGCACTTTCCCTCCCACAACATCATGGTACCTGCACCAGAGACGCCGCTATTGTAGTCAGAAGTATTTGCTGAGCCCTGGCCAGTCTGGCTCAGGGTTAGAGCATCAGCCCGCAGACCAATGAGTCACGGGTTGGATTCCGGTCAAGGGCACAGACCTCGGTTGCGATTCATCCCTGGCCCTGGTTGGGGTCGTGCAGGAGGCAGCCAGTCGATGTGTCCCTTTCACATCGATGTCTCTCTCTCCCTCTCCCTCTCCCTCTCCCTCTCCCTCTCCCTCTCCCTCTCCCTCTCCCTCTCCCTCTCCCTCTCCCTCTCCCTCTCCCTCTCCCTCTCCCTCTCCCTCTCTCTCTCTCTCTCTCCCCTCCCCTACTCTATCTGAACAAAAATGGAAAAATGTGCTCAGGTGAGGATAAAAAAAAATACCTGTTGACCTCTGGCTCCGCTAGGTGCTATGCTAGATTCTTTAATTTCAAGGAAAAAAAAAGCATTTCTTCACTCTCCCCCCATTAAAAAATCCTCCTTTTCCCTATCACCCCTCAGTTATCTTTGTTATTCTTTTGTGCCAATTCATTTTTAATGGGAATTTTAGAGAAACCCGGTCATTTAAGTCATTTCACCGGGCAAGAGGGCGTTTCTGTGTTGGGCTTGTAGGACGGACTGTGGGGTGAGCAGGGTGAGGATTTTCAGTGCAGAGCCCTCCCTGCTTCGAAACCCCAACCCCACACGCTGGCCTCCGTGGGGTACAGTCCCTTTGGGGGAACAAAGGGTATCCAGTTGGAGGCTGCTGTTCTTAGGGGCATTGGGAAATTTTCCAGGGTTGATGATCGATGCACTGACTACCGTCCCTGCCCCATTCTCCTGGTTTGGGGGTGTACATAACAGATTCGGGGAACAGCTGCTGTGGAAAGAGATGGTTAAGTAACTCTCAGTGGGATTGGAGAAAGAGGGGGGCCCTGTTCCTGGCTCTTCTTATGCAAATTAAAATGTCCATTTCTCCCTCTGTGAGTTGGAATTCAGACCCGCTGGCCACAGAAGGCAAGTTGATTATCATCAGCCATTGTATCTGTTGGACAGAACAAGCGCATCCTGGATCATGTTGAAAATCTCTGCCCGGGGGGGGATTGTGTCTGCTCTGAGTGACCCTCACAGTGCTGAGGTGAAGTCCCCTTGAAGCAGGCTCGGGTTTGCAGCTTGGCTCTGGAGGGTGTTTTACAACCAGCGGAAGGCAAAGGCGCCCTCCGGGTCCTCCAGTCTTCCCTTCCAGGGGCCCAGTCACCAGCTCCCTCCGGGCGCCTGGGGCCCAGCCGGGCCGCGGGCACCGACTCAGCGTCAGCTCTGAGCAGCACCCAGATGCTGCCAAGCACTCGGCCGCACGCTCCTGGCTTCCTCCCCGGCTGTCGAGCCACCATTCGAAAGCTGGGGACCCGGGAAGAGGTGTCGCTGGACACCTACACCTTTCAGAGGCAACTTCAGGGGCCGCGCGCCCCGTTCTGCCGGCACCCTAGAAAAGCGGGGGCTTCACTCCCTGGGCGCCAGGCAGCGCGACTCTCGAGCCGAAATTATCTGCAGGCCAGCTGTCTGGATGCCCGGATCGCCCTGCCCACGGACGCCCGGCCAGGACGGCGTGAGTCATGGCCTGGACAAGCGCTGCAGCAACTGTACGAGACGAAAATTAAATCGCTGTAGGATGATATTGATAGAAGTCTTTTTTCTTAAGTAGCAGCATTTGAGTACTTGCTCTGCGCGGCACTTGACAGTATTTATATCGTCTTTTAACTTGACCCCTTCCTGTGACACAGGCTTCACCACCACCCCTACTCTACAGGGAGAGGGCGAGGTGCAGGGAGATGGGGCATTTCCCAGGGCCACGTGGCTACAGCCTGGTACTTACCCCTCTGGGCCTCAGTTTCCTCCCTCCTCACCTTGTCGTGAAATGATACCAGGGCCTGCCTGTCACTCCTGGGGTCGGGCCTCGGCGGAGTTCACAGGGCTCTGTTGGCCCTCCCTTGCCGGCTCCTAACACACCAGGGGGGAGCCGAGGCCGGGGAGCCGACTCGCACCTGCAGTGAGGGCCCGACCTGCTCAGCCCGGGGGGGTCTCCGCCCAGGTAATTCTCCAACATGATTTTTCTCGAAACTAAAAATGTATTATGATTCTGTAGCATTTAGGAAGTGATGGAAACTTACCTTCGAAAAGGATTTAAGGATCTAAGAAAGTCTCTAAAGATGCTAAGCGCCCTGAAGGAGAGGTGTGCTGGCCGGGGCATCCCCGGAGCTGCTGTAAGGGAAATGCAGACTCATGCACAGAATGAGCATCAGAGACGGTCGCAGATGTTGTGCAGCTAGAGAGCGAGGGCCTGCGCCTCGGCATCGTTCCGTCTCGTTTTATCCCCTTTCATGGAAACATGTCCTGTGAAGAGCAGAGTCTCCTGAAAGTGTACTTACGCAACGAATGACGACACTGCTGCTTTCACGAAGGAACGGGGCTCACAGGCCCGGGTTTGCACAGAGAGGGGGCGTGCCAGTGTCCAGTGTCCGCATCCGTCCTCCTGTCCCTCCTCTTCCGACACGACAGCACTGGCCCAGCGTTCCACAAACATTTGAGGGCCTCCCAGTGCCAGATGCTGGGGTGTGAACACAAGAACAACACTGCCGCCAGCGTGGCGAGCGGAGTCACGACGCTGCGAGCCTGTGGGCCGAGGTGGAGGCGGACCCGAGCTCGCGCGCTGGCACCCTTGGCAGCGTGCACAGGGCCGGTGTTCTCACCTCTCCGGGGGCAGGCAGCGCGCCCCCTCCCCCCCATCAGGGCTCCGGACTCACAGTGCCCCCCACGCCCATGACAGCAGGGCCAGGGCACAGAGTCCTTTTCCCGTCTCAGGTGAGGTCAGGTCCGGAATTACTCACAGCAGACTCGCAGATCCGCCAGGGCCCTTCCGCACAGTCTCCTTCGCTGCTTCCAGCTCTGGCTTTCTTTTCTCACAAACGGAAGGACTCGGTGGATAGAGTGATGGTAATGGGGACAGGGTCCCAGCAGCTCCACGTTCAGACTCCCTGCCTCCTCCAGACTCCCTGCCTCCTCCAGACACCTGCCTCCTCCTCCAGACTCCCTGCCTCCTCCGGACACCTGCCTCCCCCTCCAGACTCCCCGCCTCCTCCTCCAGACTCCCTGCCTCCCCCTACAGACACCTGCCTCCCCCTACAGACTCCCTGCCTCCTCCTCCAGACTCCCTGCCTCCTCCGGACACCTGCCTCCTCCTCCAGACTCCCCGCCTCCTCCTCCAGACTCCCCGCCTCCTCCTCCAGACTCCCTGCCTCCTCCTCCAGACTCCCTGCCTCCTCCTCCAGACTCCCTGCCTCCCCCTACAGACACCTGCCTCCCCCTACAGACTCCCTGCCTCCTCCAGACTCCCTGCCTCCTCCTCCAGACCCCCCGCCTCCTCCTCCAGACTCCCTGCCTCCTCCTCCAGACTCCCTGCCTCCCCCTACAGACACCTGCCTCCCCCTCCAGACTCCCTGCCTCCCCCTTCAGACTCCCTGCCTCCTCCTCCAGACTCCCTGCCTCCCCCTCCAGACTCCCTGCCATCCTCAGACTCCCTGCCTCCTCCTCCAGACACCTGCCTCCTCCTCCAGACTCCCTGCCTCCTCCTCCAGACTCCCTGCCTCCTCCTCCAGACTCCCTGCCTCCCCCTACAGACACCTGCCTCCCCCTACAGACTCCCTGCCTCCTCCAGACTCCCTGCCTCCTCCTCCAGACTCCCTGCCTCCTCCTCCAGACTCCCTGCCTCCTCCTCCAGACTCCCTGCCTCCCCCTCCAGACTCCCTGCCTCCCCCTACAGACTCCCTGCCTCCTCCAGACTCCCTGCCTCCTCCTCCAGACCCCCCGCCTCCTCCTCCAGACTCCCCGCCTCCTCCTCCAGACACCTGCCTCCCCCTCCAGACTCCCTGCCTCCCCCTTCAGACTCCCTGCCTCCCCCTCCAGACTCCCTGCCTCCTCCTCCAGACTCCCTGCCTCCTCCTCCAGACTCCCTGCCTCTTCCTCCAGACTCCCTGCCTCCTCCTCCAGTCTCCCTGCCTCCTCCTCCAGACTCCCTGCCTCCTCCTTCAGACCCCCCCGCCTCCTCCTCCAGACTCCCTGCCTCCTCCTCCAGACTCCCTGCCTCCTCCTCCAGACTCCCTGCCTCCTCCTCCAGACTCCCTGCCTCCTCCTTCAGACACCTGCCTCCTCCTCCAGACTCCCTGCCTCCTCCTCCAGACTCCCTGCCTCCACCTCCAGACTCCCTGCCTCCGCCTCCAGACTCCCTGCCTCCCCCTTCAGACTCCCTGCCTCCTCCTCCAGACTCCCTGCCTCCTCCTTCAGACTCCCTGCCTCCTCCTCCAGACTCCCTGCCTCCTCCTCCAGACTCCCTGCCTCCTCCTCCAGACTCCCTGCCTTCGCCTCCAGACTCCCTGCCTCCTCCTCCAGACTCCCTGCCTTCGCCTCCAGACTCCCTGCCTCCTCCTCCAGAATCCCTGCCTCCTCCTCCAGACTCCCTGCCTCCTCCTCCAGACTCCCTGCCTCCTCCTCCAGACTCCCTGCCTCCTCCTCCAGACTCCCTGCCTCGCCTCCAGACTCCCTGCCTCCTCCTCCAGACTCCCTGCCTTCGCCTCCAGACTCCCTGCCTTCGCCTCCAGACTCCCTGCCTCCTCCTCCAGACTCCCTGCCTTCGCCTCCAGACTCCCTGCCTCCTCCTCCAGACTCCCTGCCTCCTCCTCCAGACTCCCTGCCTCCTCCTCCAGACTCCCTGCCTTCGCCTCCAGACTCCCTGCCTCCTCCTCCAGACTCCCTGCCTTCGCCTCCAGACTCCCTGCCTTCGCCTCCAGACTCCCTGCCTCCTCCTCCAGACTCCCTGCCTTCGCCTCCAGACTCCCTGCCTCCTCCTCCAGACTCCCTGCCTCCGCCTCCAGACTCCCTGCCTTCGCCTCCAGACTCCCTGCCTCCTCCTCCAGACTCCCTGCCTTCGCCTCCAGACTCCCTGCCTCCTCCTCCAGACTCCCTGCCTCCGCCTCCAGACTCCCTACCTTTGCCTCCAGACTCCCTGCCTCCTCCTCCAGACTCCCTGCCTCCTCCTCCAGACTCCCTGCCTTCGCCTCCAGACTCCCTGCCTCCTCCTCCAGACTCCCTGCCTTCGCCTCCAGACTCCCTGCCTTCGCCTCCAGACTCCCTGCCTCCTCCTCCAGACTCCCTGCCTTCGCCTCCAGACTCCCTGCCTCCTCCTCCAGACTCCCTGCCTTCGCCTCCAGACTCCCTGCCTCCTCCTCCAGACTCCCTGCCTTCGCCTCCAGACTCCCTGCCTCCTCCTCCAGACTCCCTGCCTCCTCCTCCAGACTCCCTGCCTCCTCCTCCAGACTCCCTGCCTCCTCCTCCAGACTCCCTGCCTCCCCCTTCAGACTCCCTGCCTCCTCCTTCAGACACCTGCCTCCTCCTCCAGACTCCCTGCCTTCGCCTCCAGACTCCCTGCCTCCTCCTTCAGACACCTGCCTCCTCCTCCAGACTCCCTGTCTCCTCCTCCAGACTCCCTGCCTCCTCCTCCAGACTCCCTGCCTCCCACTTCAGACTCCTGCCTCCACCTCCATACTCCCTGCCTCCTCCTCCAGACTCCCTGCCTTCGCCTCCAGACTCCCTGCCTCCTCCTCCAGACTCCCTGCCTCCCGCTTCAGACTCCTGCCTCCACCTCCATACTCCCTGCCTCCTCCTCCAGACTACCTGCCTCCCCCTTCAGACTCCCTGCCTCCTCCTCCAGACTCCCTGCCTCCCGCTTCAGACTCCTGCCTCCACCTCCATACTCCCTGCCTCCTCCTCCAGACTACCTGCCTCCCCCTTCAGACTCCCTGCCTTCCCCTTCAGACTCCCTGCCTCCCCCTACAGACTCCCTGCCTCCTCCTTCAGACACCTGCCTCCACCTCCAGACTCCCTGCCTCCTCCTCCAGACTCCCTGCCTCCCCCTACAGATACCTGCCTTCCCCTCCAGACTCCCTGCCTCCTCCTCCAGACTCCCTACCTCCCCCTACAGACACCTGCCTCCCCCTACAGACTCCCTGCCTCCTCCTTCAGACACCTGCCTCCGCCTTCAGACTCCCTGCCTCCTCCTCCAGACTCCCTGCCTTCCCCTTCAGACTCCTGCCTCCACCTCCAGACTCCCTGCCTCCTCCTCCAGACTCCCTGCCTTCCCCTTCAGACTCCTGCCTCCACCTCCAGACTCCCTGCCTCCACCTCCAGACTCCCTGCCTCCTCCTCCAGACTCCCTGCCTTCCCCTTCAGACTCCTGCCTCCACCTCCAGACTCCCTGCCTCCACCTCCAGACTCCCTGCCTCCTCCTCCAGACTCCCTGCCTTCGCCTCCAGACTCCCTGCCTCCCCCTCCAGACTACCTGCCTCCCCCTTCAGACTCCATGCCTCCCCCTCCAGACTACCTGCCTCCCCCTTCAGACTCCCTGCCTCCTCCTCCAGACTCCATGCCTCCCCCTTCAGACACTCTCCCTCCATCAGACACCTGGCGAGGGAGGGCAACTGGCCGCTTAACTCTCGTCACGACAGCCACGTGCTCCTAAGGTGCCCAGGTGTCAAGCCCTGAGCTCCTCTAAAGGGAAGCAGTTTTACAGTGGTTTTATCATTCTTCGATTCAGTTGTGTTCTTAAAGTGTACATAACCGTTTATGACAAAAGTAGGCTCAACCTTTTTTTTTTTAGTTCACATTTTAAGCCCTTTGTCTCTCGTGGGTGTAACTGTGAGCACATGTAAGTGTGTGTTGGGGCGGAGGGTGCTGGGCGAAGGGGCCTTGTTTCCCATGGTTTGCACCCCCGTGGACCATACGCCCTGTGACGCAAGGCTGGGGGCGTCCTGACATCTTGACGGACACGTCTTCCAGGCTGTTTTCCTCGCGGTCCCTGCTTCCCGACATGACTCATTAGCAGGCACAGCGTCTTAATTAGAGCTGTGCACTGTGCTGTTTTCTCTCCGCGTCTCAGCCCGTAATGAACCATGTGTTGAGCTCACAGAGCAGGCCCTCTGGGGAGCCGGGCCCCTGTCCCCTGGCACCACCGCTTCCTCAGCCGCCAAGGGCCCAGCTCCTCTGCTCTCGGGGGTGGACGGTCCGCGCTGGCGCCCGGACACGTCCCTGTGTGTGGCCCTGCACACTGACGACGTGGGTAGGGGTCTGCAGTGCGGGGTTTCGCAGTGGGGGACACTCGTCGTCACTCTTGGCTAAAAGCGTGTATTGAGCAACGCTGCCCATAGACTGAGAATGGTAGACCCCGACGCCGTCCTGGAGGGCATCTCCGTCCCAGCCCAGAGAGACCCGTCCCCGCCAGCGGGCTGTGGGCAGCGTGGAGCCCCAAACCATCCTGGAGGGCATCTCCGTCCCAGCCCAGAGAGACCCGTTCCCGCCAGCGGGCTGTGGGCTGCGTGGAGCCCCGACGCCGTCCTGGAGGGCATCTCCGTCCCAGCCCAGAGAGACCCGTTCCCGCCAGCAGGCTGTGGGCAGCGTGGAGCCCCGACGCCGTCCTGGAGGGCATCTCCGTCCCAGCCCAGAGAGACCCGTTCCCGCCAGCGGGCTGTGGGCTGCGTGGAGGCTGCCGGCCTGTGCAGGGAGGCGCGGACACGCCCTGGAGACGGCCCCCTGTCTGATGACGGCCACGTCTCACATGTCTGCCTGGCCGCAGCATCCAGCTGACACATGCCAACCGTTCCAAAATCCCTCATTACGCTCATGAAGGATGGAGTTTCCTTTTCCCCTAAATCAGAATGGCTCTTGCCGCTCTTTGCTTTCACTCGGGTGGATCCCTGGAGAAAGAGGTTCACAGCCCCGAGTGAATGTCAGTTGTTTTCAGAAGGACATTGATGTTACCATAGTCCAGCGGCTTGGAGGGGTCCCCACGGTGCACTGGGTGCCCTGCGGGCACAGTGGGAAGACCGGGGAGGGAACACGTCTCACGGAGACAGACGGAGGGGCCAACAGAAGCCGTTCCTGCTGGGCCCTCCCAGGGGCGTGCTGAGGACAGGGCTGCCAGGGACGGGCGTGAGCAGCTCCCCGCGCACCTGCTGTCGCCGTCCCTGCCTCAGATACATTGGCCACCGCACTTCATCCCGTGGCCCCTTTGAGGCAGATCTAAATGGGCGTCAATCTTTAGACTTGTTCGTACATTCAATTGAAGAAACGGTGCTTTCTAGTACCCACTGTGTGCCTGGCTCTGCACGTGTGCCAGCAAACAGAGGCCATGTCTGCGGGACAACTGTACTCAGGGAAGGACACATACACATGAGAAAACAGATGCCTGGCCAGTGTGGCTCAGTGTTGAGCGTCGACCCTGCACCAGGAGGTCCCAGTTCAATTCCCGGTCAGAGCACATGCCCAGGCTGTGGGCCCGATGCCCAGTGAGGGACATGCAGGAGGTGGCCAGTCGATGTTCTCTCTCATCGATGTTTCTATCTCTCTGCCTCTCCCTTCCTCTCTCTCTGAAATCAATAAAGAAACAACAGAAACAACATGTCAGGAGCGGGCAGTGCATTGAAGAGAGGCACAGTGTCCTAGACTTGGAAGAGGGCTGTTGTTTTCGACGCCCTCGTCCAAAATAGACTGGGGAGGGACCCTGCAGCCCGGAGCCGACAGCCGAGCCCTAGACAGGTGGCCCGCGGTGTCCGGGCAGGCGAGGCAGCCAGGGCGGGAGCTGGGGGCAGGAGCGGGGCCCGGGAGCTCGCCGGGGGCCAGGCACAGCCTGGTGGGGACGGGTGGGTGGAGAGGGAGCCAGGGCCGCACAGAGGCCTGGAGCCATGCAGGGACCGGGGTTCCGTGCCGGGTGTGCGACGCCACGGGACAGTGTATACCTACAGGGGAGGGACGGTCCTGCGGGAGGAACCCGCGCGGCTGCCTGGGAATCAGCCTGGGGGACCTCAGTGTCGTCTCCTCAGGAAGTATCGGGGTGCTTTAGAAAGATGCCCAGGAGACTCTGGTGCGGGCCCGGGCTGAGGAACACTGACCTCCTGACGCTTAGGAGGCGAGGGCTTGAGAGGGTCCCGCTGCTTCTCCAGAAAGAGACCTAGTGGGCGCGCCTCGAGCACCAAGCCGTCCTGCGTTCAGCGTCGCAGCTCAGAGGACCTGGTGCCTGAGACTGCTGCCGTGGGCGGTCGCTGAGTCTGCCCCCCCCCCCTCGCTAATCCCTGTTTTCCTACGAAGGAACTTGGAAAGTCATGGGAAGAGGTTCAGCTGGAAGACGACCGGGAGCTGTTGGATCATCAGGAAGAGTAAGACCTGCTGACTGATGCGTGTCTGCGGAGCAGCCACTGTGGTTGAAATGTCGTTCTGGGCGAGAGAACGAAGGCGCGAACCTGCTCCCTGGGCCCTGCAGCCTTGCCCGTGGCACGGGAAAGGCTGGACTGCAGGGGACCTGTGTGCGCCAAGTCCCTGAGCAACTGCCATTCCAGCTAAACTGAGCACGCAGGTGACACGCAGGTGACACAGGTAACAGGTGACGCACACAGGTGACACGCAGGTGACACGTCACCCAGAGGACAGTGCCTCCCGCAGTGCCGGGGTCCCCGACCTCTGCGCGCGGCCCTCCGCCGTGGAGGCGCCTGCCCTGACCTGCACCTCGCCCTGTGTCCCGCCCGGCCCTCGGCTGGAGAGAGCTCTGGGAGGGCCCCGGCGACCTGAAGGGTCCCTGTCCCGTCCTCTCATTCAGTGTCTAGGGCAGCGGTTCCCAACCTGGGGGTCGAAGGACCCTTTCACAGGGGTCGCCTAAGACCGTTGGGAACACAGATTGGCTGTGGTCAGGAACGAGGCCCCGCCCTCCCTCCTCCCCCACGTGCAGATTCGCCCTCGGGCAGCAGGGGGAGCTGCATCGAAGGGTCGTGGCTTTTGGGAGGTTGAGAACCGCTGCTCTCGGGTTTCGATTTTCCTGGGTCAGGAATGGCAGGACGTTGGCAGCACCTCAGAAAATGACACGCAGAGACGGGAGCGGTAAGGGGCTCTGCGTGCCGCTTGGGCCCTCCTCCTGGCAGAGTCTCCCGGTCCTCACCCCTGCCCCCGGGACAGGCCACTGTTTCGCACACCAGATACCCAGGTCGCCTTTCCAAAGCCCTCCAGTTGTCACGTGGAAACACGCCCCTCATCGCACCTGGCGGTCGTGTTCCTGCGAGCGCCCGCCTGCCGGGTGCCCTCTGCACCCTCCACCTGGGCGTCGGGGGCACTGGTCCCTCCACCTAGGCATCAGGGGCGCCGGCCCCTCCACCTGGGCGTCAGGGGCACTGGTCCGCCAGAAGAAGCTGCTCCGAGGGCAGACAGCAGCACCCCATCGCTCCTTATGTTAATGTCACGGTGCTGCTGTGAAAAGCCTCAGGATGTGACCGTGGTCACCAAGTCCCGGGCAGAGGTCGGCAGGGCTCTGGGAGGAGGAGCGGTGTGGGGCACCTCCTAACGAAGGCCTCCCCATTTGCCTTTTCTGTTTCCCACAGGGACTGGTCGGGCTGGGAGGAGCTCCCCGTGTCCACCGTCTGTCTGTTCTGTGACACGCGGGCGGAGGCCATCGAGAAGCTGTGTGCGCACATGGAGGTGAGACAGTCCCTCAGCCGAGCTGTGCTGACGGGAGAGCTGACCCTCATGGCCCCGTCGGTGCCACCAGGGCTCCTGGAGCAGTGGGCCCCGGAGCGCTGGGACAGAAGCCAGGCCGGTGGCCGGCACGGAGAGCTGTCAGGTGGGACCTCACAGGCCACTGCGCTGCCACCCGCCTGGAAACGCGGCGAGGTCCCCGTGGCTGAGGGCGCGGGCTCGAGGGGCAGTGCCCCGGCCTGGACGGCTTCTGTGTGGCGGCGCCTCTGCTGGTGGCTGAGGAGGGCAGGCGGGAGTCCAGCCACACGGCCTGGGCCTGGTGCCCGTGGCGGCGGCAGGGAGAGGCACCGTGTGTGGTCCCGCAGCTCCTTACGGGACAGGGATTGGGGGTGACAAGGACTTGGAGAGAAGAAACCTGAGAGGATCCCCAGAAAGCGCCCCTTCGGGTGTCTGGACCTGTGTCGGAGCCCCTTTCCCCCCACTGCGAGAGGACACGCCCCACTGGGGGGCTCTGGCTCCGCACAGCATCGGCTCGGGGCTGGCATGTTCCCACCCCCGTGCGGCTGCAGGGCAGACCCACTGTCTGACCCACCGCGGCCCCTCCTCGGAGCACTGCCCTCGTGCTGCGCAGTGAGGACGCGGACGGCGTCAGGAAGGCCACGGGCCCTCGCCCGACGAGAGCGGAGCATCGGTTTCTCTGAACCGGGCCCGTGTGTGCAGGTGGCAGGGTGTGCACGCAGCTCAGGGCACCGATAGTAGAACTGGAGGGCGCTGGAGCCCCCCACACACGCACCGGGTAGGGTTCCCTCTGCAGCCTCCTTGACCGGTGGCCGCGCCCTCCGCCCACTCAGTGACAACTGTCAGGAAACTCTCCGTGTGCTCCGGCGGTGCCCCCCCTCCATGCTTCCGGGGTCCTTTCCTCTGTGGGCTTGTAAGTTCAGATGGTGACCGAGACGGGCAGTCCCGGGTGGGACAGGATGAGGCCTGTGCGTGGTGAAACAGTGGGTGTGATTGTGGGGAGATGCGTGTGAAGAACCTTGTTGACCCGCACAGCGTATCGACGACATACAACGAAAAGCAAAACCTGTAGAATCACCTCTGCAATTTCTACGTTGCAGAGCCAGGAGCCCGTGTCCATAACTGTCATCCGGACGCAGGGCAGGAGGACCGCGTCTTCCTCAGACACAAGGGCACCTCAGCAGACTGCAGTCGCACGTAGTGAACTGTGGGAGCTGGGTACGGGCTGGGCGACGCAGTGTGTCGGCTGACAGGCAGGGCTCGTGGGCACGTGCGGGAGTCGTTAGAGTTTGGGGTTCAGCAGCAGAACACATGAGCTGACACTGAGGGTCTGCACAGTCCGACTCCTGTGAATAGGTTGTTTGTAACTTCAGCTGAAGGATTACACGTGTGTCTGCTCACAGATGTATCCGTTCCTTCCTTAGGAGGCGCACGAATTTGATCTGCCCAAAATAAAGTCAGAACTTGGTAAGTTTGACTCAGATGCTGCGTCTCTGCCCGCCTCCCGTGACTTGTGTTCTGCAGTTGTGACTGGAGAGGACACGGACCCCCCATTCCCCGCAGGTGGTCCCCACCACGGCCCAAAGGAAGGACTCACAGCCACTGTGAGCTTAATGTCCAGATACGGTTGTGACTTCTTGGTGTCTCCCTCTTTCCCTCGTGTGAATGAAAGCCTCGGAGCAGGCGCGCTAGTGGTCACTGTCAGGCGGTCAGACGAGGGTCCTGTTCCAGCTGCCGCACCTGCTGTCTGAGCAGAGGGTCCAGGGAGTGGCCAGGGGACACACAGTCCCAGTGCGCCGCTCGGGGTGCAGCTGGGTGGACGTCATAGCTGCGCCCCGTGCGCCGTTCTCAGTATCACTGTGATAGACAGATTCGGGGCTCAAACCGAGGCACAGACTTGCTCGTAGATCCAAGGCCATGAACAGCTCACTTTCCGCACGTCGGTTCATGACCGCTCCCCCAGACTCTGGGCCCGTCCTGTACCCTGCGGCTCTGACAGACACGTTTCGTGGTGTGTGTATAATGAGCTCAGTGGTCAGCAGCCCGGGCTCCGAGCCGCCAGCCTCCTGTCATGTACCACTCACCGGCTATGTGACCTTGGACAGTTCCCTCACGTCCCCTGCGGAGGGGAGACCCCTGCGTCTGAGGGACTGGGGGACTGAGCAGCTCGCGGTGGACAGGACAGCGGGCACCCCGCCCCGGCGCTGCCGGCTGCAGCTCTGAGTCTGTCGCGAGGCCTCACGATCACACCACCTCCTCGGCTGGTTCGCAAGGAGAAGGGCTCTTCCCCAGAGTCACCGCCGTGCAAGCGGCCTGCCCGCGCGGTGGGTGATCCTGTTCCTTCCCTCTTCCAGGGCTGAACTTCTACCAGCAAGTGAAGCTGGTCAACTTCATCCGGCGGCAGGTCCACCAGAGCAGGTGCTACGGCTGCCGCGCCAAGTTCGCGTCCAGGGCCGCCCTCCGGGCCCACCTGGAGGACGCCGGCCACGCCTCCCTGCTGCCCGCCATGGACGCGTGGGACCAGCCCCAGTGAGTGCGGCGCCGGCGCCCTGCAATAAGAGGGAAGCGTGCTTATGGGGAGAGGGAACGTTCCAGAACCCTATTTTTAAAGTAACCCCCGCCTCTCAGATGTAACCAGCTGTTTCAGGTTTTGTGCTGTGGCGATGGGGATGTGTAAGTAGATACAGAGCACAGATTTTTTTAACTATATTTTGTTAACAAAATACCGTAAGCATCTTTTCATGCCCAGTACACATCTACTGCATCATTTTTAATTGGGTGCCAGGTTGCCCACTGCCTAGATGTATCTGAACTTGTTAGCGGTCACTTCTCCCCTTAGGAAGAGTGGTCCCGCGGGCATCCGCGCGCGCGCACCTTGTTGCCCTCGGGCGAGCGGGACATGACTCTGTCAAACAGGATGCCGTCCTGGTGCTTTGGGCCGTGTCCGCACGTTGGCACATGAGGCATTAAGCACCTGGTCTGCTGTGTGCACCTGTGGGTCCTGTCAGACTCCCGGGTGTCCTGTGCCAGCCAGCTCTCGGGGCGGGTTCTCGCAACGCTCTGCATGACCTCAGTCCAGGTTCTGGCTGCTTGGAGCCCCTCTGTTCCCAGGGATGTTCACTCAGGTCCCCCAATACCCTAGCCAAAACGCTCTGGTGTTTCCTCCTTCAAACAGAAGGCTTCAGTTTGTCCACAAAGCCCAGACCTGTGAGAGGCAACGTCGGCCCTGGAGCCTTGTCCCTGTCATCCTTCTTACAAAGGTCGAAATCTTCAGAGATTCCCCAGAACTAACTCCACAGTGTGTCCGGACAGTGGACAGAATAACACGTAGAGAAGGAGGGACCAGCCCTGGCCGGTTTGGCTCAGCGGTTAGAGCATCAGCCTGTGGTCCCGAGAAGGAGGGACCAGTACTGACTAGGCTGGAGAACAGCTGTTCTCAGCGATATTCGAAGGGCTCGTGTGTGGAAGAGGAACTGACCGTTGATGCGCAGTTGGGAGGAGCTGGGACCTTTGCCTGGGAACGAGCGCTGTGCAGCTGGAGCCGCCCGGGCCGCAGGCTGCCTGTAGCACTGAGCTCGTTGTCGCGGTGGGAAACTAGCGAGGGTCCTAGCAAGACCCGTGTCAGCCAGGGAAGGTCACACAGAAAGTCATCCAGAAGACGTCTCCCTTACAGCCGCTGCGGAATGCAGCTGAGATCGTGGGCGAGGAACCCGGCAGAACCCTAGTCCTGCACATGCACTGCCTGGAAACCCTCTGGATTCGCTGTAATCTGCCTGTTCGCTGTCTCTGTGGTTGTTTCCAGGTACTATTTTCCAACCTACGAAAATGACAGCCTACTGTGCACCCTGTCTGACAGCGAAAGTGACCTGGCGGCCCGGGAGCCGAGCGGAGACATCGCCATCATCAGTGAGGACACGTCCCAGCTCCACGCCCTGAAGCAAAGCAGTGTCTTGAACCAGCTGCTGCGACAGGAGGGCTTGAGGAGCTAGAGGGGCCGGCCACGCAGCAGTTCTGCGCGTTTGCTCCGTCACGAGGCAGACACGGCAGGGGTGCGTGGGGACACAGCAAAGGGTTAGGCCTCGGTGCAATAAACTTTTTAAAAATAAATGTGTTGTGTTTGTTGTTGTGGTTTGTTTGTTTGTTTGTTTTTCAAAAAAGAAAATGAGGACTTTTTGTATTTCGGCTCCAAAGTTTACTGTGTTTGGTGCTCTCTGCCACCAGCGTTTCTGGGCGGAGCTACAGCAACAGCCTCCTGATTGGCCTCTCTCCTCCCGCACTGGCTCCTCCCACCTGTCCTAGGGCTGCTACTGTGACCTTTACACCCCCTTGGGTATCTCCCCGAAGCTCCTTCCCCTTCCTTCCTTTCCTGACCGTCCCCAGATTGTTTTAGGGGAGAGACACGTCCCCTCACGGGCTGCAGCCGGGCCGTCTGGGGTGCCAGGAGGAGGGTCCTGATGCGTGAAGAGTCTCACTGTAGAGACGCGTGCAGAGCCTGCCGAGCAGGTCCAGGCGCAAGGACACATCAGGCCGACCCAGTTAGTGAAGGGCAGGAAGTCAGTTAAAGGCCCAGACCAGCCAGACTGTCCCTGTCCTTGTGGAAAAGCCCGGACCCCCATCCTTTAGTCACCATGATTAACGATGTCCCCTCGTAACTCATCCCCCAGAAGCCATCGGGGGCCTGGTCTCTTAGCACCAGCTTACCGGTGCCTGGGCTTTGCGCCATCTCCGCAGATAATAACCCTCCTTTCTTCGCTGCAAACAGAAAGGAGAGAGGGAGGCGTGCCAAGTGCACCCTGCACCCTGGAGAGGAACTAGCCCAGGGACCCCAGAGCAAGCGGAGGGGGCGCCTGAGAGACGAGCCAGAGCCCTCACCTCAAGGCAGGCCTCTGGGCTTCTCGTCACGCGGCCGTTCCTGTTTAACCCACGCGGTTTGCTCGCGCACAGCGAGAGCGTCCCAGCTGGAAACAGTGGCTTCCCAGGAACACGGAAGCAAGGCCTCATGGGCTGGCCCGGCTACATCTGCAAACCTGCCCCGGGCCGTTCCCCCGCCTGCCCGCGACCCTCCGGCCACCAGGCCTCCGGGTCCCTGAACACACCGCGGGCCCCACCTCCGCGTTCGCACACGCGTTCTGTGCGCCTGTCCGGCCCCACCCCGGCGTCTCCTTATGTCCAGGCCTCGCTAACTGTCTCCACTCACAGCTCTGTCCACTGCAGATCCCTGCTCGCCCAGCTGCTCACTGCCCGGGGATGGGAACACGTCACCTCGCAGATGAAGGTGACGGATCGAAACAGTTCAGGGAACCTGCCAGAGACTAATTCAACCTCCGATGGCGACCGTAGCCCAAAACTAGATCAGCAAACTCGGGTACGTTCCAAATCTGCCTCAGATACACACTCCTAGGCCTCAGCCATGGCTTTCTGCTGCACCCAGTCTAGGTGGGAACCACAAATCTGGCTCCCAGCAAGCCCCCTGAGGATTCTGAGTCCAAAGCCCATGGTCCAGACAACACAGGCATTTTGTTAGGAGCAGAGACTTCTGAGTCAAGGGTCCTGGTTTCCAATCTCGACTCACATTTATGGGCTATAGGACTCAGGACGTGAACCTTAGCTTCTCGAAGCCACAATGTCCTCGCTGGTCAAGTGGAAATGATGACGACTCCCTTGTATGTTTGAGGAACTGCTCAGCACACAGGAAACTTTTCGTGGATGTGGACTGTTTTGTTCTGACGGATTGAGTCTTGCGTCCGGTGGGAGGTATCAGGAATGTCCCCAGGAGCTGTGACCCATCATCCACCTTAGAAAGAGCCTTTGAGTGAGAGCCTCCCTCTCCTGCCCTCCTTTGTCTGTTCTTCCGCAAGTTCTGTGCCTCTTCAAAGCGGCCCTTGATGTTCTTTTTAACTTGATTTCTTCTGCGTGAGAATAGTCACAGATCTGGGAGCTCATCATACTAACCTATGGATATGTTTGGAATGTTTCTGAATAAAAAGTCTTTCCAAGTCTGTTCACACCAACTGCTCCAAACACACCCTCTGACGAACCGCACATGCGATTCACACCTGGGCCATGAATGCCAGGCACCAGCTCTCGAACACCTTCCACGGGAGTCGCAGCTGCTGGTGCCAGCAGTGTGCAAGGTGGGAGCCTGCCCGTGCCCTCCGCATGGCTCCCTAAAGAACATCGTCCCAGCACCGACAGTGCCAGTAGGTCAGGGGGGAGCTGCTGTTTCCAGACAAACTGTGATCTTGCTGCTGGGAGATCTCGCCCTGTCCTGGGTCCTGGGCCAAATCTCCAACACCACCTCACACACCCCACAGACCAAAGCAGACGATCACAGAAACAAGGTTTAAAAAAAAAATGTAGCTAGATGAACATTCGTTATTACTACTGGGAAAGAAATTCAAAGCACATGACCCAATTTCCACAGCTCAGTACCTTTGTAAAAAGGTATTGGATTAGTGCTTTCTTACGTGTATTTGGGAAATAATCATAGTAGCTGTCTCATAGGGTGTCATACATAAATAAGATTCTGTATTTAAAATACATAACAGTACCCACAATGTAACCCTATCAAAATATCAATAGCGGTTTTTGTTTTTTTCAGAAGTAAAAAATTAAACACTCTCCTAAAATTCAGATCTCAAGGGACTCAAATAGCCAAAAAAATCTTGGAAAAGAAGGAAAAAGTTGGAGAGCTCACACATCCTGATTTCAAACATACCACAAAGCTACAGTAATGAAAATATTGTGGTGTTGGCATAGAGACACCTAAACCAATGCAATAGAGTAGGAAGCTCTGGAATAACTTAGTTTCCAGAATGAAGGATGCACTTAATAAATGTGCTGTCGTCATCACCACTAAGCCAGACTATAATTCCCAGTTCTCACCCAGCCCTCCTGTTTATATATTACGTACTGATGTCAGCCATTTAATTCAGGTCCGTTTCTTTACTTCTTTCTAGACTCTGAGTTGGGCGAGTGTTGACTAGGTAGAAGGAGAACTGTGGTCTAGAGGACATCACCACTGAACCCATCATGGGACTCTACCCCTCAGAGGCTGGTTATGACTTCAGAACCCTACTCAGACACCAACTCCAGTTGATTGCTGGTGGCTGCCCGAAATGATGCCCATTTACAATCTCTGGCCAACAAGACGGAATGGACACAGTGACAAGCTATCTCCTGATCCCTCCAGGTTCAGGTCCGCTTGGAGTTTAAGCCATAGCCCTGGATTGTGACATCTGTCCCGGGATTTTTCAGCCAAAGGGGAAGCTTTTGAATTTTTGCTGAGGATTTGTCGTGAGTCCTCGGGTGTCCAGAAAGCTCCTGAAGAAGACTGACCCCTGGCAGAAATGATCAGGGGTTGTGCGGTCACAGCGTGATGCAAAGGTCTTCCGGTGTCACACCCAGTGCTGCCATGTGTCACACCCAGGGCTGCCTCCAGGACAGCGATGTGCATTAATAAAATGTTTAGTGCTCCTTGCCAGCTGCTCACTGGACACTGGCCGAGCTCCCTGAGTGCCCTTGCACCACTGTAGACACTCCGACCCAGGAGGACCTGGGGGCACTAAAGGGAGCAGCCTGGAAAGGGCCAAGTCTCCTGCAAACCTGAGACCATCCCGCATGTCCCACCTCCTCCCTCCACTGCTACTAGAGCAGGCTTAGCCACAGCCCTCCTGGAGGTGGGACTGTCACCTGGCTGCCCCAAAGCTGCCATGTCTTGCTGCCTGTCTCCAGGAGTCACTTTTGCATGGCCTCTTTAGGTCCATAGTGTTGACATCTTTTGATTATTCCCATGGTCCTAGCCACCCTCCCCTGCCCCTAATTCTCTGCCACTTTCACAAGGAGACACTAAGGGCTCGGGCTTGCTGCGATGGTTGGGTGAGAGGCTCCACTATCATTGCTTTACCTCTCAGACAACGCTGCCCTCGCGTGGACTGGAGTTCGCAGGGGTGGGCGATGCTGCATCGGAAGGGAGGCGGCCAGTGGGCTCCTCACCTCCCACATCCGCTGACGTTCACCGAGCCGAACCTGCTCCAGACCTCCAGCGCTCGGGTCCTTGAGGCCGGAGGCCGTGGCTGCCTCCTTCCCAACGAGCAAACGTCTGTACAGTGGGCCTGCACTGGGATCTGGACCTAAACCCCGGAGTGAAGAAGTTAAACTGCAGCTCACCATCACCATGCATGGCACCTCCCACCCCCAAATGAAGGGCCTTTTTCCTTTTTAAAATACGTTTTTATTGGTTTAGAGAGAGAGAGAGAGGAGAGGAGAGGGAGAGAGAGAGAAACATCATTGAGAGAGAACCATTGATCTGCCTCCTGCACACCCACCCCCTACTGGAGATCTAGCTGAACCCCAGGCATGTGCCCTGACTGGGAATTGAACCTGGGACCTCTCGGTGCCCTGGACAATGCCCAACCAAACTGAGCCACACCAGCCAGGGCTGAAGGGCCTTTCTTTTAACAGCATGCATGTCTATGGATGACTTCCTTACTGCCTTAAAGCTTTAAAGGAAGAAAATGTCTTGAAAAAATCTGGAAATTTCTCCCTAAATCCAAAAAAAAAAGAATAATTCTGGAAATGTCTCTCTTGATCTGAGAATAAAAAATTCTGGGAATTTCTCTCTTGATCCAAGAATGTCCCACCCGAATGTCTTTGCAATCTGGAACATTCTCTCAGACCCTAACCTGGGAGCAGTGCCTTTGAACCTTCTCGGCCAGCGGTGCCTGCTGACCTCTGTGCGCGCTGTGAGCGTCGGCTAAGGGCAGTCCATGTGCGCACGCGCGGAGGGCTTTCCTGGTCTGGGGCTGGGCACGGGAAGCCAAACAGCTGGGTGGGTGTTCAGTTCTCCACCCCGCAGCAGCGTGCCCGGGGCCCACTCAGCCTGTCCCGGCCTCAGCTATTTATCCAATAATAGCTGAGGGTGCGGGATTTGGAGGAATGTCAAAGGCCCCGCCCAATGGCGAGTGTGTACTGAGGATGTGGCCTCTGTTACTTGTGTGGTTCTAATGCCCTTTGGCGTTTCAGTAGCTGAGGGGCTGCAGGCAGGGAAAGGAACAGGGCATTTG